TGCTAGGAAAAGTTAAATCTTTTTTGAACTGGAGTCCGTAGAGTAAATGTAGGCCTACTAAAATAAATATTTAGATTGTTTGCTCAACAAGAGTAACGAACGTGTGTTATTTGGAAACAATGAAGATTGAAGTGTTTATTGTAACATAATTTATAGGTTTAAAATAAAATTTCCTCTCTCCATCTCATTTACTCAAAAATTCTTGGAGTTGTTAGTTGTTTGCGTGCCAGTGATATTGGTATAAGTTTGCCAAAGTCTACATCTAATCAAGTATACTAGCAGTTTGTGATGGACCATTTTTACCACTTTTCAGAGTACTTATAATATTTCAAATCGTGTCTGATACTATACCGTATAAATTTCTCGAACTTTTGGGTCTTGGACATCTTGGGAAAAAATTATGGCCGTATTGTTGTCAGCAATCTCTTATCCACAAAGATTGTTTCGATTTACATATTCTATTGAATTGATTCCCTTTATGAACAGAAAGTTTATTTCAAAAAGTCTCCAAGAAAATTTATTTCAGAAAACCCACAACAGATTCCAAGGAAGTGTCTTTATAGGATATAAGAAAGACGAAAAGTCTGATTCAATTTAATATGGTTATTATTGTTCTCGTTTTATCCACCTTTTTCTATAGACCTCATTTACTTTTTTTCATAGAGTTTCCATACTATCACCATCATCAGTAGATAGAAATATAACATTTTCACGATGGAATAGAGAATCTTACTAAACATTTTAACAAACATTAAAAGTCTGGTGTAAAAAAATGCCCACAGCTTCAAAACTTGATACACAGTTACTGGGCATTAGAACCATTTTAACGCATTATTCAGATCTGCTATTTCTTTAGGGGGACGGCCCGCTAGGAATCTAAAAAATATCAAAAATGAAAGCCTATACCAATTTGCACAAAAATTAAAGGTCTATGTTATTAAAATATAATGCCGCAAACCCGAACTTAAACGGACAACCTAGTCCAAAATGACAGCTAATTCAAAAATGCATTAAATTTGCAATTCTTTTTTACAGTATAAACAAGCCTCCTCAGGAAGGCGCCCGCTAGAGGTCGATATGCACATCAAATTAAAGGGCTTTATTTTTATTAGTAGAATGCAATTCCGCCAATTTAAATGCAAACGGACAACCGTGACAAAAATGGCAGCCATTCAATGATTTTTTGAATCTGGCATTTTGAATATTTGAACGGCTGTCGTTTTTAACTCAGTTGTTCTTTTGTTTGAGCTCAAATCTGAGGCATTGTATTCTACTAATAAAGACCTTAAATTTGATGTGCATATCGACCTCGTCATTTTGTATATTTATACACAAATATTCATATCTTATAATTAGTTATAGCCGGTCTTTATAAAAATGTGCATTTATGTAAAAGAGAGTTATCGTAAAAAAATCGCAAGGCCATAAACCGTGTATTCAAACTGTGGGTTCAAACGTTTTCAAAAGCGAATTCCATGAAATCGAAGGGCTCTGTTGTAATTTTAAACAACTCACACTTTTAATACACTTAAAATATCTATACCATCAAATGACAAAGGAAGAAAAAGTACAGCAAAAACGGAGCATCAGAAAAAGGTAGAGACAGAAAAAACGCGTGTTATTGAGGAGGCCAGAGGAATAGATTAAATATACTCCCTTTGTGAGTCAATTCTATAGCCCACCACGGGATGTAGCGCCTATTTTAAGGTAACGCATACCTTGGAAACAACGGCGTCTTGACTATGTTTGTTTTGTTTTCTCTTTTACTTTACCAAAATAGTTTTGATTTATGGAGCAGTGATAAAATATATAGATACCGGTAACTATAACTTTTATTCCAGCTAGACCTACATTTACTTGAACTTCGATTAAAAAAGTTAGGCAGAAATATATTTTCCAATAGTTAAATCAAATATTTAACGTATAGGCCTACAAACAAAATCTACATTATTTTTTTTTTAGATTCGTTGATACCTATAAGATATTTTAAGAGCGCAGTGTAGTGTAATTGTTTTTTATATGATGGCTTTGTCGAGAGCCTATACTAAAAGAACTTATAAATGTGTTTTTAGTTTTTTTTTTAGTACACTGTGATATATGAGAGTGCTTAGTTAATTTGCAGCGCTACCTCAGCCCTCCAGTTGTATTTCACACTAGAGTAGATCACCGGTACAATCTAACTTTTACTTATATAACTTGTCTTCTGGATTTATAGCATAATATAGCTTAAAAGTAAAACATATTCTGTAATATATACAGGGTGTTTTTTTAAAAACTTGCATCTTTATTTATGTAAAAACCGCAATAGATAGAAATATGCAGTTTTCGGGAATCATCTATTGACGTAGGGGGACCAATTGTTTTGAATTCAACGTTACATTCACATTCCCCCCCCTTCCCCCCAGCCCCCAACTTAATTTTTTTTAAATAGCAAGGTACCCCTTGTGACATATCAAATAAAAGAGCATGAAAAAAGAAAATGTTTGATGAAAAAAAATTAAAAATCGGTTCATAAATTTGTGAGATATTCCCCCCCTCACCCCCCCGGAACTTAATTTTTTTTTTATAGCAAAGTACCCCTTGTGACATATCAAATGAAAGAGCATGAAAAAAGAAAAATTTTGGTGAAATTTATTTTTCATTTGATATGTCACAAGGGCGGGTACCTTGCTATTAAAAAACAAGTTATGGGTAGGGGAAAAGGGGGGTGATTATCTCACAAATTCATGAGCCGATTTTAAATTTTTTTTTCACCAAAAATTTTCTTTTTTCATGCTCTTTCATTTGATATGTCTCAAGGGGTACTTTGCTATTTAAAAAAAAATTAAGTTCCGGGGGGGTGAGGGGGGAATATCTCACAAATTTATGAACCGATTTTCAATTTTTTTTCATCAAACATTTTCTTTTTTTATGCTCTTTTATTTGATATGTCTCAAGGGGTACCTTGCTATTTAAAAAAAATAAGTTGGGGGCAGGGGGGAAAGGGGGGGAATGTGAATGTAACGTTGAATTCAAAACAATTGGTCCCCCTACGTCAATAGATGATTCCCGCAAACTTCATATTTCTATCTATTGCGGTTTTTACATAAATAAAGATGCAAGTTTTTAAAAAAACACCCTGTATATATATATATACACAGGGTGTCTCAGACCACCCGGCCGGCTTGTATAGCTCCGATATGAAAGCAAATGGAAACCAAATTGCAACTGGAACCCCCTATTCGACCCCAAGGAATTCCGCTAAATTATTTTCAACCCCAAAGGACATATTTTGGGGGGTGGGGTGGTTTTTGGAAAATTTTCAAATGCAAAGGGGGGTTGTGTTATACCTCTTTTTAAAGGTCCTTTAGTCCTGAGTATTTTAGTGGAAAAAGATTTAAATTATCTTCATCCCTATTTACAGGGTGTTCAAAAACGTACAAAAAAATAGAACTTTGAACTACCTACTCTTCACTGTAACGAGGTGAAATTTTGTGGGGGGTTCAATTTTTGATAACACTTTAGATGCTAAATGAGCTTTCAAAAAACTCTGGTTTCAACCCTTTTGCTATCTTTTTACATATGTTACCGGTACGCAATTTCAAACTTTTTGAAGTAATAAAAGCTGTTATCTCAAAAATTTCGAATGGCAACATGGGTTTCATTACAAACCACATTGTAGCCCTTAAAATTAGCTACAAATTTTGTATTTAATGTTTTTTGGTATCTTTATTAGTTTAAGAGCTGTAGCGAAATTAGTGTATTTTAATGTTTTATTAAATTGTATTCAAAGTGTTTGCTGTTGTAAATGTACACGTCTAGGTCTCAATTAAAACGAATTTTGTCTAAAAAAAAAAAAAAAATAGTACTGTACTCAGATTGTTGATCTTGGAAGATTGATAAAGGAAAGAACACAACTGCAAATATTCTTAGTTATTTTACAATTCCATGGCTCTAATAGTACTTTGAATGAATAATTTGTTTGAATCAGCATTAATAGCCTACATACTGCTAGACTTCTACAACTGCTTAAATTGCCTTCCATTTTGTTCCATGCAAGCCCCAACTCTGTTTATAGGCACGTAGTGCTTCTTCTCCATGGTACTGTATTGCTATTTTACTACCACAGGTGCATTCACCTCTCGTACAGGTCCAGTAAGTTCCTTATAATTTGTTTTATCTGATCTAACGTGACCAGTGTCACGCACACGCTCATTGTTTTTTCATGATTATTTTATTTATTATTTATTTACAAGTAGCATTTATAGACAGTATTCATTCAAAGCACTATTATAACTTTGGAATTATTGTAAAATAACTAAGAATATTTGCAGTTGTGATATTTCCTTTATTAATCCTCCAAGTTTAACAATCTGGGTAGTATTTTAATTTTTTAGTTTTATTTGATTAGTATTTAATTAGTTTTAATTGAGACCTAGACGTGTACATTTACAACAGCAAACACTTTGAGTACCATTTAATAAAACATTAAAATACACTAATTTCGCTATATCTCTTTAACAAATAAAGATACCAAAAAACATTAAATACAAAAAATATAGCAAATTTTAAGGGCTACAATGTGGTTTGTAATGAAAACCATGTTGGCATTACAACCACCATGTTGGCATGTTTTGGTTGATACCTATGTATTTAACTTCAGGAATGCTTAAATATTTACTCTAAAATATGATACAAATATTTAATCTACGGAAACACATTACATTCAATAGTTACCGCCTACCGGAGAGTTTTTATTTCCTAAGACGACAATTAGAAGAAAAGTCTACATCTAATTGCATAAATTCCATGTTAGGTGTAATTAATACTATTTTTCCTAGGATGACGTTACAGTTTATTCTAATAATGGTGGTTGAGATTAGATCTAATTTATAGTTTATACACTTCTTATAGTATTACAAGACTTGATGCTCTACTCATCAACCTTAATCGTAATCAATACTGTACTAGACTGTGAACTGCAACAGCTGGTAGTCTAGCTGCATCCGTGCGGCAAAATACAAAATCGATTTTTAGTGTTCTGTGAAAATCAAAAGTCAAGTGTCGTCTGTTATCCTGTAAGTTAACTACAAACCTTACCAAATAACTCTTAATAATGAACTTTAGGGACATTTTTAAAGTAAAAGGAGAACAAGGAACCTAACCTAATTTAACTTCTGGTACAGTAAGCCTACATTAAAGTCTGCATTTGTTACCTTGTGTTATCCAAGAATATGCCTAGGATAAATATTTCAAACATCATCAACCTAGCCTAGAAACCAATTAATTTTTATCATAATTTCTTTCAGATCCCTTAATTCAGAACTTCAAATCGCCAAGCATACCTGGAATTTTCAGTAATGGAACTTCACTACGTCATTTGGGTTGTATCTTGTATAATTATTATCACATCAAGTATTTCAGGTAAATAAACTTAACTTAGGCTACTGGTGATGTCACCAGTACATTCAAAATTGGGGGTGTCGTTTAAGTTTATGTTATACAACATAAGTAGGTCTCAATGATCAAGTAAGGAAACTATGTCGAGAAAGCTATGCTATGTCTAGACTAATGAGTACGGTATCTTTAAATATGAAACACTGGAACAAACTCTCAGACATTTTGTTGAAAACACAGTCCGCTTCCGCAATCTTCAAAGTCTCGGCCAGGTAGCCTATTTAGATTCTGTAAGTTAAAACCAAACCAGCAAAAGGGTACAGTTCTGCGAACATCCTAGGATAGATTATCGAATAACATTGTTAGCCTATTTGACATAATTAGTTGGCTAGTAGGCTTTTCATTACAGGTTGGCCCATAAATCTTTGGAGTCTGTATAAACTTAACCTACTTAGCATATTGTATGAATGCTTCCAAAATTGTAGTAGGCTAGTTAGTTATGCTACTGGATTATAATTAGTTGATTTTTAAAGGTTGAAGCAATCAAGAAAAACTTAAGACTAAATTAGGCCCATGGAAGAGGCTGTTTCCAATTTCAAGCATGTCAACTGCCTTTTTAATTAAGGCGTCGTTTAACTTACTTTGGAGGCACGGTTGGGCAAGTAAAATAGTGGAGCACGCTTGACTAAGCTTGCTATTTGAAAAAAAATTTTAGTAGATTACTGGAAACCTGTGGCGACTTGTCCAGTCATGCATGGTTACAGTGCTTGCCAATAGCAAGCACACGCAGGGACAAGCTTGCGCTTCTCCAATCAGGAAACAAAAAAATTGTTTTTAGAAGCAAGTGTATCTCAGTTTGTTCTGGTTCACTGACACAGTAGCATCGGTTAGGTAACTGTTGTATAAAGTGTCGTTTAAGTTTTTAGTTGTTCAACATGGATACTAGGGCATTGATTGATGCAGTTCATGCATGAAGACCAATTTGGGGCGCGTCCTTGAAGTTGCAAAGCACTTCTATTTAGCAAAATATTTTATGTTATTCTCTCTAAAATGTAGTAGGCTAAAATGTTTCTGGCATAGCTTAATTCTAAAATATTCATAGATAGAGCTTATCTGGTTACTGGTTAATTTAGAAGATAAGCAAAAATCTGTGCATAACTTACTCCCCTCCTTCTTCCTAATCCTTAAAAAAATCATTTACCCATTCACACTTGTTCGGAGTCTTATAATAAAAACTTCAGAACTCCATTCTCAAGTACAATATCATCATCTGACATTTACACTTTGACTGATCTGTCCTACTGAAACTAGGGGGCAACCACTTACGCTTTTGGTTGCCCTTAGTATAACCACACAACACTTTTGAAACATTCAAGTTTTTTCAGCTTATAGGCCTAGCACCTGAAGATTCACCTAAGATTTGTCATCTATAGACATACCAGAAACAAAAGAACTCTGGGGCATTTCGAGCCGCGCAGGTTTGAAGGGTACGCCACACCTACCGGCACGAACCACGTGATCTTTTCGTTTCTGGGCAGGTTATTTTGTTATTCGGATGTCTATAGCTTGCATGTGGTCCTGATTTATAACCACAAGTCTATCCTCAAGGATTCTTAACAACCGTGATTTCTTTTTTTACACTCTAACATTATTTGTATCTCCAACCTATAAGAGTCCACACCCAAATTTATATGCCTACTCATTATTTTTAACATTAAGTCATATACCTAATATAAGTTTTACCTACGACCGTTTTTTAAAGTAGCCATTTCAGTCCAGTTCTTAGAATTGAAAAGTTTCACTTTACAGCTGTTTACTTTCATATCAGCATAGTTTCATTTCATATCAGCATAGTTTTTCTCATATCCACACAGGTAACGGACCAATGAGGTTCAAGTATTGAGAGAAAAGAATTAAAATTGTAATGCTTCAAACATCAACTAATCAGCTGATCAGCTGATCAGTTGACCAATTTAATCGTTGATCCGACTTTTTCATGTTGATACTCGCGTATTCTTAATTAAGTTGGTGGAAGTCCAAAAATAAATGAAATATTTGCCGAATTGTACCCGATACAATATTATTTATGGTAAGAATGCTGCTAGCAATGTAATATTTTTAACGAAGTTTAACAAACACGTAATTACAGGAAATCAGCTGATTATACAACAAGTCGATGCATCACTTTCAGTGGCAATGACAATACACGAAAACATAACCTCTCTAAAAAGTTATCAGTAGTGATTTTTAGTAATTAAATCCAGATTGATAGTAATTAAAAAACGGTCGTAGGTAAAGTAGTGTACGCAACTCGCGTTAATAGTCTTTACGACACTCGTAGAAGTTTTAAGGCACGAGCCTTGGCGAGTGCCATAAATTTTCTACTCGTGTCGTAAAGACTCACTTAACGCAATCTTCGTTGCGTAAACTACTATTTTAGTTGCTATAAAGTAGGCCTACACCTTTCATAACACATGTATAAACCTGCTGTAGGAGAGTTCATCAACAATCAGCACCAGACGGAAGGAGCTAAGATGAAGAAACACGACGTGTGGTGCTACAAGTGCGATACCATGGATGATGGTGACAGATGCAGCAACCTTTCAGCTGGCAACGAGTCTAAGCTTGTCTACAAGTGTCCTGAGCATCGAACCATTTGCATGGTATTTATCTTACTTAACTTTCACAACTAGGCCTAGATTTGTTTAGAGGAACTAAACTACGGTATTTGTCTACAGAATTTTTGTACAGTATTGCTGTACAGAATTTTGAATCACGGATTTAGGGTGAAAAGCTGTCCAAACTCGTTAATTTTTTGGGGGTGATTGAAACTATTGCTTTTGCTCCAAGGTCTGTAATGCTAACTGCTAGGTTAAAAACGTACACTTTCATTAGATGGGTTATTTTTATTAAGAATTGGTGGCTTAAGAATGTTTGAAGCCAAATAAATTTTAAAGATGAGTGTAAGATAGGTGTGATGGAACAGTTTTGTTACTGTACCCCCAAGTCGACAGTCTAGATAGTTTTTTGTTAAGATAATTGGTGAAACTGGCTGCATTGTCATTGTTAAACGGACATAGTTGTATGCTCGCATAATGTGTTGTGAGCAATCTTTATGTAACACGGGGGCTGAGGGAGCTAATTTGTTGAGGTTTGATATGTTAAATAGACATATAGGCCTAGCCTAGTAAACAAAAATATAGCCTAGATAGCGTTTGGCAAAGGTTTGTTTCAGTTACTCGGTCTTTATGGTCCCTAAAGGTTGATGCAAAGGTTTAGTAGAGCTGATGTACTGCCCCGCCACATCTAGGGACTGCTATAATCAGACTGCATTAGCAATTGCAACAGCTGTTTGTAGCGATTATTAAATCCTAGTCGGGTTGGACAATATTACATCACCTCTCATCATAACAATAAAATTTTCATACATCCAACTTTAGCCCCATAAACAGAATTATCAACACATACTGTACAACCAATACAATCATGGTCCATATATCTTAGTCGATATTTTTACTGTTGACATATTGCTCAAAGCATTGTTTATTAATAATAGTCCTTCTTTTATTCTGAAAATGTAAGTTTCAAAATGGTTTTCAGGCAAAATCTAACTGCAACGTAGTTTCACAGTATAACCCTTGATATCCGGCCTCATGCCAATATCAATTTTTTTATGGCTTGGAGATGCCTTTTGCAAGTACTAGTCTTCCAGCGTTCTCACAATTAATCTTTTTGTTTACATTTTATTGTGACACTTCTCAGTTGAGCATGAAGCCTGAGCGCCAGGCAGTTAATTAAGGAAATGAAAGTTCATTGGAAATTTAAAACATTTTAAGGACAAAAGGCCATGTCACACCGACATCCGCCACTCCCGCCGCGGGAGTACCGCGCGCGGATGTTTTTCCTCGAGCCATGTCACACCAAAAGTTCGCGTCCGCGGCGGGAGTTTTGAGATGAGTTCATTACAATTCGTTTTACATAAGAAACTCATCTTACCTGTTTAGTATGCCATGTAATTTTGCAGGTTTTAAGTAAAGTGTTTAAGAAGCAATTTATTGTTTATTAATTTCTTAGTGTAGGGCTACTTTAAAAAGTGAAAACCTAGTTTTTTTTTTTTTATTTAATTTAGACCTTGTGTTCGAAGCATTTTAAATATGGTTGTGGATAAATTATCCACTTTCAGCTTTTGAACGTTATTTTTCGCTACACTACAAAGACTATTTACTTTTTAAATAAAAACATATGACCATTTTAAAACTAATGTAATTTTTTGCCTTCTATTGAAAGTTCAAGTTTACGTTGATTTTAAAGTTTTTTTGTAGTTGCAAATCAAAAAAGTTTATGAAACAATAAAAAAAAAATGTTTACGTCGGAAATATAAAAATGTTTATGGGAAACATTAATATTTTCACCGTAAACACTATTTTTGCATGGTAAACAAAAATGCTTTTTTCTGGTGATAAACATAATCACGAAGATAATACAAAACAACATAGACTACATCATCAAACAAAAGAAACATGTTAAATTTAATTTAAAACTGTATTACTTTTAAACTTTAAATAGCTTGAGCATTCAAAATGCCCCTTTGCGCATGCGCTAGACAAAACTCCCGCCGCGGTAGTCTCAAAAAATCGCTCAGCAGGCGGACGTGGCGGACACTACCGCACGCCCACGGGCGCGCGGTAGTGCGGTGTGACTTGGCACATTTGATAACATGGTGAGCGATTTTTCAAAATTCGCTCCCGCCGCGGGAGCGAGCTCGGTGTGACTTGGCCTTAATGATCTCAAGGTCAATCATTGTGTTATTGCCAATCATTGAGTCATTGTTCCCTCCATCATCATTTAATATTGTTTATGTTATCTGAAATCATAATATTTGAATATCCATTATTTAATCCTTTATTCTAAAAAATGTTTATTTTGGTTTTACAAACAACATGTGTATAAAAAAAATTAATAATCCTGAAAGAGGCTCAAAGACTTCTTTTGACTACCATACATTGATTTATTGCAGATTATTCAAATCGATATCCAGCCAGAGACTCGGTTCTGTGGTAGCCGGATATGAGGGGTTCTACTAATTATTCTGTAATTTGCCTATTGAGTCTGGAATCGATCACCACTTACCAAATTTTGTATTTACCATCTTGTGAGTCAACAGTACTTTGTGTAAATATATTTTTACAAGTGCTCATAGACATTTTTTTTTTGTTTTTCAGACTAAATGGATGTTAATCAATTTGGCTTTTTATTTTCTGCAGGTGAAGCGATATTCTTACACAACAAGTACTGAAAACTCCACATCAGTTCTTCGCATGTGGTCGCTGGAGCGCAACTGCACAAGTCGTTGTGAGCCCGGCTGCATTGTAATTGGTGAACGGACAAAGTTGTATGCTTGCACAACGTGTTGTGAGCGGTCTTTGTGTAACACGGGGACTGGGGGAGCTAGTTCATTGAGGTTTAATATTTTAACAGACATATTAATACCAGCAATCTTACCTATGTCTATGAGGATTAATAGACTCATCCGGTAAGCCTCATAGTCATAATTTTTAATGATTTTATCTTGTCTTGACATTTTTATACTCTAGTACTAAAAATCTTAATATTTTGAGTTACCATTGTTACCGTTACCATCTAAGGCCGCCTCTGTGTATGTAAGAGTAGCCATCTCCGATCCAAAAGCTATCTTCAGAAAGGATGACAACTTAAAGTGCCAAACTTATGCCAATAGTTTGAATAGTTTTCAATTTCTCAAATGTTTAATTTTTGATGATGGATTCAAAAAGGGGTTGTATTTATAGAGGGCTTGCTAACGTCTACATGATTTGTAATTTGTAAAATTTATTTTTTTGTTATTCATCATCCACCAAGTTCTCCGTACCTTTCCATACATTTATCAATTTTTTATTAGATAGGTGAGTTGGACTCCAAACCACACTCAGGTCAAGACCATTATCTCCTAGATAGAATCTGCACCCATTATTAATCAACTATAATCTTTATTAAACTGATATTCATTGCATTATTAAAGCCATTATTTTCCAAGCCTCTACATTGCAAAAATTACTGTTTATCAATCAATTTATCAAACGGAAGAAAATTATTTAACAAACTACCAACTAATATTCAAAACTTAAAATTAAAAGAACTAAAAAAAATGTTAAAAAAATCGTTACTGAAAATCCAATCTACTCTATTGAAGACTTAAAGATAAAAATTTAAAGAGTTGTATTTAATACTAAACCTAATTGTACTGTCGATACAATTTATATTGTTAAGGCAATAAAGTATTTATTCATTTATAAAACTCAATAAAAAAAATAAAAAAATACAAACTAGTGATATTATGTCCTTTTATTGTAAACAGGGTTATTGCAAGTAGCCTGTTATTATGCTAAGTTGTTATTTTCAACAATTTGGTATGGGAATAGAATGCACTCTTAGGTTTTGTTAAAATTTTACAGTATTTATTTTAATTGTTAAGTTAGCTTAGCTTGTATAATACAGTAATATAAATAATTAACAACCAATCGGTTCTTGTCATAGATAATAGTTAAAGTTTGAATAGATGATTTTATATTCCCTCCATGTTTTAGAGCTCCGTGGAATATTTATTATGTTATGCTAAGGCTTGGCCTACTTCATTTTAAAGTGTAATTTATGTCATATCACAAGATCCTCAACACTATTTACCTAGAGCCTATATAGTAATGTTAAAAAACTACATGTAGAAGTAAGGTACAGAGGAAACATACCTCCTCTGGGGAGGGTTTTGGTGTGTTGCTAGCCTAGTGGTTAGCGTTTCGGACTTGGGTGCGGGAGGAACGGGTTCAATCCCCGGCACTTTAATGGGTTTGGACCGCTTTCCCTTAAAAGTGTTTGACTTCTTACTTCATTACAAAATGCAACTGGCGTAGATACGAACAAAAAAGAATGACACAATTCAGTGGTCTAGCAATAGTTGCTGATGTCTATGGCAGTCCAAGACCCTCGCCCTCATGTATTATAACACTTTTGGTAGAGGAAGACCCTGTGCCCAGTGCAATTGGAATTTCCACACAGTGGAATCACCGCTCAGGTTCTTCCTTGCTCATCACGGGTATATTTCCAGCAGATTATACTAGCTGGCAAAAGTGCATGGTTGTCCCATAAGCAAATTTCCTCTGCACCTTACTTCTTTGTGCCAACTACCACTTGGATTTAAAGATTTTTTATCTTTGTTTGAACATTTTGTGAATTAATAAAACTAAAGATTTTTCTATTGCCAAAAAGATTGACCATCACTTATTTGCCAAATCCTGTTTTTCGTCTTAACTCAAGTTATTTTAGTAGTGAATTTATTTGATTGTGATGACTGTAGAAAAAGTACATTATTTTAAGTTGTTGGATTGGACATTTTTTTAACAATATATTTTATTTGTTTTAAACCTTATAGTTTTGGGGGCCAGGTTCAATCCACTGATCATGCACAAAACATTTAAAGGTTTGAATTGCTTTCCCTTAGGAGTTTCTAAAAACAATAAGTATCACTAGCATATAAGACATAAAAAAACTCGTTCAGCAAAGAAGACCAAGTAGCCTCCAGAGAATTTATCTTACTCTTAATTATCCCATGGCCTAAGGAGATATTTGGTCGCACCAACGCCCCTCAATCTTTCTCTATCCTCTGCATCTTCCTCGGTTGCATCTAATCACTCCAGGTCTCTCCTTCACTTTGCTCAACCACTTGCTTTGGCCTTCCTCTCGGTTGTCTTCTTTTGGGATTTCTCATAAAAAAATTTGTTTCATATTACTATCCTCCAGGGAATTTTAGTAATACATATCAATTTTGGCTCTGCAATACTCTCAACCAGCCTTTCCCAACCTGTGGTACGTGGTGGTGTACGTTCCACAAATTAAGGTTATAATATATCTGATAATACGAGGGCGGTTTTTTAAGCAAGGGCCAGTTTTGCGTATGAATCCATATTTTACTTGAACGCGGCAACAAGCAGTGGCGGATCCAGAGAGGGGCGAAGGGGGCGACCGCTCCACCCTCGGGCATATGTATATAGAGAGCTACAGAGCTGCAATTGGTGTCATTCTGTTCACTTAAATGATACTAGCAAGTTGTGAGGAGCCTCGTTGCGGCATACAAGCTAACTACGGATATATACACAAAAGCGTAAGGGTCTTAAGAAAACACCCTCATGTCAGGATTGCTCTTGGTATGAATAGAACATATTTTTACAATATGTCATAAAAATGGTCAACGTTTGCAACTTACTCAAGGAATGGAATGAGTACTTTTTAGCTGGGATCCAGTACCGAGAATCAATTTTGGTTTCGGTGCTAAATTGGCTACTATGGTACAGACAATGATGGGTAACATTTCATGTCCCTTCTGTTAAAGCCAAACAAAACAGCTTAATAGGAATTCAGCATAATTTACGTTAATGAAACAGCTGTGCTTTTTGAACATGAAATTTTAAAAAATTAAACAAATTTACCAATGTATTTTATGGCTGGGATCAACCAAGTCCCCACTAGAAAAAAACTTTTCTAGTGGGGCCTTGGATCAACAATCTAAGGCCAGTTTACACACCCAGATCATGTTTTAACGATTGATTTATCGTAAACTTTCCTTATACAATGGGTGGTGTTGTCTTTTGTAGCAAGTCAGCGTTAAAAGATCTTTGTGTTGTTTTCAATATAAATTTCTATTTACAGAACACTTGATTGCCACTTTTAAGGCAGCTTATTCCGTATTACAATTCATTTATAGATATTGCAGCTTTCTAAAAATTTTTAATTCAATAAAATTATTATTTTGTTCATAAGTGTGTTCACAATAATAATTAGAATACGCATGAGTTGTATAGTATCCTCATCAACTCTATCTTGCAAAAATAATTGAAGCAATTCAAAAAATATTTTTCAAGATTTATGTATATTAAAAGATTTGGAACATATGTACATTTAACATTCCATTCCACCAGCTCTTGAACATATTTAATATTTGATATGACTAGTCTCAGTGACAGAAGGAAGTTGACCGCCTTATCTTATACCAATAAGGTGACGTAGTTATGGAAGATTGTGACTTGCCGGGACAACTAAATTGCCATGTTCCAAGACACAACTCACAAAGAACTATTGTGTTTACCCCTCCTCACTCACATAGCATTCTTGGATTCAATTTCCCACTCAATTTAATCTCTCTTATATGCAATGCTTATCCGTTTGATATATTTAACTTATCATCAAATTTGTTAAATGTCTGATTGTTAGAGTGTTTATAGTTAGATAACGAATTCCTACCATAAAATCTATAACTGCACATGACTAAGAGGGACACTAAATACCTACTTCTATCTTATGATTTGGTAGCCTACCCCATAAAAAAAGTTTTAGGAAATACTGGTTTAGTACTAGAAAATGAAATAAGACACAGTGGAGCCCTCAACATTTTTCCACAACTGGATGTTGTTTTTCCTTGTATCTATTTTAAAATGTTTTTATTAGTTCACTTTTTTTGTCTGTTTGGTGCAAATTTTGCAATCAATTTTAAACTATCCTTCCCGATGAGCTAGGTAGATGAAACGGATGAAAATGCAATATTAAATAATTTTATTTTCATATTTCTCTTGGGCTTTGCCCCATAGGCTTCCAAATTTTCAATGTTAAAATTTTGGAATAATGTAAATATTCAATTTATCAATAGGCCTAATTGATATAGTTAATCAATAATCCTTAATAACACTTTGTGAAGGTGATTTCTACGAAACACTACTCCTTCGTTAATAATGGACGTATTTTTACAAACGATGTGTCAAAATTAAGTATTTTTTTATGTTATTTTTTTGTAGACGCCCCCTTTCACCAATACATGTAATAAAAGTCCTCGGGCTTTGCCCCACAGGCCATCAAAATCCCAATGTATTTATCATGAAATGATTTTGTTTACTTAAAGAGACAAATAATTTTTATTAATTACAGCTGTTCATAGTAAACACATGATACACATAAGAGTTTTCAGAGTGAGTTTGTTTTCAGTTTCGATAACTGAAGTGGAGTGATTGATTACACATTATCTTTGTGTTGCGACTCTTTTAAGTCATCGGAAATTATGATTGCTATTCTTTTTTTAAATAACGCCTGTAATACTTAGCAATTGCTTGAATTCGAGCAACAGGTGCACTAGTTATATAATAACCAATAATTGATATGATAATATTGATAGTGCACTGGTTACAGCTGACTTCAATCACTTTAATTTGCGGAAAGTAAATAAAATAAACGTCTTATAACACTTATAAAATATATTTACGCTTATACTGTTACTCACAAGACGGTAAATATACAAAAAAGATGGTAAGTGGTGATGTAGCGCAGCGTAGCGTAGCCGAGCGCAGCGTTGTCACATATACACAGGGAGCGCAGCGTAGCGTAGCGCAACATAGGTTGTAGACGGTCTTAATAAGGTACATCAGTATAGAGGATGGCTCTGTCGAAGGCGGTTCGTATTAGTTTTGTCGAAAATACCTTAAGGTGGCAGTTTTGATCAGTAGGAGAAGTGTCGGGGCGCATAAAGTGTGTAAAGGCAGGGGCAAACATGGTGAATAGGTACATCTTATTTCCAATCCTTAGGAAATATGAGTCTCGGTTTAAGAATTACACAAGAATGTCGACTACAACGTTCGATTACATATTTAGTTTGGTGAAGGATGATTGAGAGAAGCTGACAACTAATTGGAGGGGACCAATTGGTGCAGAAAAGAGACTAGTATTGACTTTAAAGCGTGTCTGCAGTCGAATGCGCTCCAATACGCTCTGAGAAAATCAAAATAGTTTGTTCCTCGGTTGTACGCTACGCCAAAATACGCTACTAGTATGTCATACCTCATTTCAATGCACGGTTTTGATTTAAAACATGCGCTGCGCTGCGCTGCGCTACGCTACGCTGTCTGTATGTTTTTACACTAACAGTATAGGCGTAAATATATGTTTTAAGTGTTATAAGACGTTTCTTTTGTTTACTTTCCGTAAATTTAAAAACACGTACAATGCTGATTAAGAAGTTATTTACTTTAATTTGACAGTTTGTCAAAGAGCAGAGGTTAAGAGGTACAGGTTCTACTCCCTGCTATATGGAGAGATTCTAAAAATGTAAACAAATATTTCAAAGCAAAGATAAAACCAG